ATGTGTGGAAGACAAAGGACAAGGCTGTGCTTCACTCTGTTGAGTATGTTGTTATTGTTAGGTGCCATCAAGTCAGTACCGACTCATAGTGACCTTAAGCACAGCAAAACAAAACACTGTCTGATCCTGGGCCAACCTCATTGCTGTTGCCACAACTGAGTCCATCGAAGCTGCCACTTGGCCAATCCATCTTGTTGGGGGATCTTCCTCTTTTTCCCTGACCCACATGTTAAGTATGGGGCTGCCATATATCAGAACCAAATGGACTGCACCTAACAACTTCCCAGTGGCACCTTGTAAGAAAGACTTGATAATCTGCTTCCATAATGATTACAGTCAAGAAAACCCTGTGAACCAGTTATACTTGGAAATGCATGCAGTCAATATGATTTAGAGTCAACTTAATAGCAAACAGGTATGTTTGTTTCTGTTTTTGTTAGATATATTCATATTGACTCATGAGTCATAACATAAATACCACATTTCTGGGGAAGATGTTGGATAAGAAAGACAAGGTAACTATATTTTCACAATGTTTTATAAATCTAAAACTGTTCTGAATGTCAAAATTTCATTAAAAAAATTATCAGTGTTTTCTGTAACTACAATTTATCATTTAGAAGATGAAATGCCATTTTTCAATATTGGGTGAAATATTAAAACTCTTAGAAATGAACTCATAGAAAAGGCAGGTGAATTAAATTGTTGTTGCTGTCGAATTTGTGCCATCAACTCAGTTCCAACCCATAGTAGCCCCATATTGGGTTTTTGAGGAGTGACTGGTGAGCTTGAACCGACAACCTTCTGGATCAAACTGAGTTTGCAGTCCAGCACATTAACACACTGCACCACACAAGGACCCAAGGACAATGAATAGATACTTAGTAGTTCTGAATAAGAATAATAAATATCATAAAAAAATATTTCTTTCCCTTTTTAAAACAGTTTCTTAGCAAGGTCAATCCTGTAGTTACTCTGAAAGAATGGAACCTTGGGTCACCATGATGCATTTCAACATTCTTGGTCACCAAGACTAAAGAAAATAACAGCAAGACAAAATACAACAGGACATTAACAAAAGTTTAGAGCCATATGATAAACTGAGGATAGTTTTACAAATATACCACCAAACGGACTATTTTTCTTAATTGTGTCTCAGGAGTCACAGGGGAGTGAGAAGAAACGTCTCTGGAAACTTCAGGGAAAGTTTGACCATGTATGTTTGAGGACAGAATGTAGACATAGGCTTTTTCAGGAATATATGTTTGTTTCTAAATTGCATAAAATCACTTAGTGTTTCTTCTTGATATGAAAATAAGATAATTTTATAATAGAAATCAGTGTGTATATGATCAAAACCAAAGGTTAGGTAAAATCAGTAATCTCAATTAAATGATTTTTTTTTTAATGTATCAAAGGCACAAAGAGCTCTGAATTTCAAAGCCATGTTGTCAATGGATAGATTCCATTTTTCAGGTGAGGATGTATTTCTTTGATATTTCGTAATTTTATATTTTAAAAGTCAAAATAGATTTTCAAGATTGATTGGAGGGAAATGTAGAGTAAAATATTGCCTAGAACCAAACATTTAGACTTTTAAGTTATTCTTGTTTTCTTGATTTTTTTTTCTCGTTCCTTTAAAGGTGAATGTTATTGTCACTACAGAACTAAGCTTTTTATTTGTCTCTAATATGAATCTTTGGTAATTCCACAAAGGCTACTGAGAGCTTTTAAAGAACAAGAGAACCACATGCCTCCAGGGATTTGTCAGCACTTAGTACTGGTTGTTTTCTGTTGCCTTTGTTTTCAATAAGAAACAAACTTTAGAGTTTAAGCAAGAAATGCAATTCTCATTAGGTATGGGCTTGTGTGAGAAAAAAAAAAAAAAAAAAAGGTACAGGCATTCCATGGGGTTTTCACAGCACCACACCAAGAATAAACCATGTAAATGGTTATAAAATCCAAGTCTTAACGGTTTGGGTATAGAAGGCCACATAGATTCACAGAAGGAGCCCTGGTGGTGTGGTGGATTAAGCATTGGGCTGGCATCCAAAAGATTGGTGGTTAGTGACGGAAAAGATAAGGCAGTCTAAGTCTGTAATGATTTACAACCTGGAAATCCCTGTGGTATTCCATTTTATCTTACAAAGTCATTGTGAGTCAGAAGCCATTTGACAACAGTGGGTGGTGGGTGGAATATTCAGAGAGGAAGTCTTAGGTATTGCAAACCACTGAAGTGTTGGCTGTTAATTGAAAGGCCGAGTTCTTGTCAACCCAGTGGTGTTTCAGAAGAAGGTACTGGTGATCTACTTCTGAAAAA